AACGCCTACATCCTTTTTAAGGCTTTGTCTGTTGAAGGTCACCACGACAGCCACTGTAGGTTTTGTTTTGTTTTGTGCACAGAACAATTGGCTACCTAAGAGATGGTTGAATTCTGCCTTGTAGGTACAGACCGACCCTGTGGAAACTCTTTTTTAATAACACTTTTATCATTTGAGACCACATGTCAAAGGCACCCTTGCCCACAGCCCATTTTTTAGTCACTAAAGAGAAATTTTATTTCAATCTCTTTGCCAGAGGTCAATGCTTTTTAACATGCAATTGCAATTTTTAAATGGTGAGATAATAGAAACTTGGAATAAGCTGTACAACCTAGTTATTTTGAGTGGATTTTCCATTACAAAAAAGGTTGGTTTTATTTGTTTTAAAAAAAATTTACAGAAATACAAAGCAAAGATATAAAGACTAAAGAGAAGAAAAATTTGGAACAACACAAAGAGAATAAAGAGGCTTTCTTTAAGTACTTCATTCTTACTGAGCTAGATTTCCCTGCAGCCTAAGAGACTCCATACTTCCCAAAAGGAAGATGAGTATTCGGGTTATGGAGGGTCTTCTGAGTTGCAAGTGCGTGGACAGGTACACAGAAGAAGGATAGGGAGTGCGGGCACCACATAACCACTCAGGATGCAAAATGACCTCATGGCTCCATCTGTGCCACAGAAAAGTAGTAAATGGGTCAGAGTCAGAAAACTCCATTTAAACCAGAGTATAAGAAGACTCATGGAAGATGAGGGCTTTGAACTGGCAGGATGGCACTGGCTGACAGGAGGATGGAGGGTCTCCTGAGGGGGGGCAGGGAGTGGATTCCTACTGTAGTTGACCCTTGAACAACATGGGCTTGAACTGCACAGGTCCAATTATTTTTTAGTAAATACAGGACAGTACTATAAATGTATTTTTTCTTCCTCGTGACTTTCTTAATTACGTTTTCTTTTCTCTAGCTTGCTTTATTGTAAGAAAACAGTATGTAATACATATAACATACAACATATGTGTGCATCGACTGTTTGTGTTCTTGGGAAGGCTCTGGCCAACAGTAGGCTGTTAGCAGTTAAGGTTTGGGGTAAACTGCAGAATGCCCTGGCCTGGCTTGTCTCATCCTCACCAAAATGAAGGTCATTTTGAGGAGCAGGGGAGATAAGACTGGGGCATTGAGACAACATTAAATTAAGCAGTACCTGGAATTGTGGGTGAGGAATCTGTAGTTGAAACTTTGTCTGTGGGGGAGCCAGTGAAGATTTGGGGGGAAACCTATAGAATCAGGGAGGCAGCTGACAATGTTTTTTTAATGTGCTTTTTAATGGTTACTTACTACCACAGCTCTGCAAGTCAGGTTCATTATTCTTATCCTGCAGAAGTTCTGCAGGAAAGACCTGGAAATCATGCAGGGACTTCATTCTTTATCCCTTTCTGTGGCCCAATGTTTGATCCTACTGAATGCCCCCGGGGGTCATGGTGCCTGCTTCCCATTCTTCTCTGCCCACCAGTCCTCCGCCACCAATTCTGAGGCGCGCTGCCAGGCTGGGAACGCAGATCTGCCCTAACAGGCAGGTTATTGGTGTTTCGTTTGGTTTCTTTGACCATGGCGGGGCTTTTCTCTCGATTTAAAAATAATGGAAATGCTTTTTGGAAAACAAGTCCCTCCATAAGAAAGGCAAATGGGGGACATTCTGGGTAAAGATTTGGTTAGACTTGAGTTGGTTGTTAAAGTTAGTCTGATTAAATACAGTCTTTTATTTAATAGCAACACTAAATAGGCAAGTCCAGCACCCACAGTTTTGGGGGGGCTCACTGTGTGAAAAGGAAGATAGCTTTCCCTTGCCCCTCTTCAGCCAGATCTGTAAATCTCAATTCTGTGTAAGAATTTTAAAATGTTAAGGGCCAGGGTACCTGGGCGCCTCAGTTGGTTAAGTGCCCAACTTCAGCGTCCTGGGATCAAGCCCTGCATCAGGCTCTATGCTCAGCGGGGAGTCTGCTTGTCCGTTACCCTCTCCTTCTGCCCCTCCCCCCAACTCATGCCCTCTCTCTCTCTTTCTCCCTCTCTCTCTCAAATAAATAAAATCTTTAAAAAAAAGTTAATGTTAAAGGCAAAAGAAAGGCCACATCAATCAATAATAGCAATGGCAAGGCTATATGACTGCCAGGTTGGTCTCCAAAGATACTGGTTTCCTTATGTCATTCTCTTGCTAAGAACCTGCAATACTATTGCTCAGGCCTCTGCCTTTAAGTTCCCTCTGGCTAGTTCCACCAATAGGAGAAGCTTTTCCTTCTCTGGATTCCTTATCTCATCTCCCTTTCACACAGACCTCCCCACTGGCTTTGTTTGTTTGTTTGTGTTTTAAAGATTATTTATTTATTTATTTGAGAGAGAGAGAGAGAGAGAGAGAGAGACAGAGAGAAAACATGAGAGGGGGGAGGGTCAGAGGGAGAAGCAGACTCCCTGCCGAGCAGGGAGCCTGATGTGGGACTCGATTCCGGGACTCCAGGATCCTGACCTGAGCTGAAGGCAGTCGCTTAACCAGCTGAGCCACCCAGGTGCCCATCCCCACTCTGGTTTTAGCTGGCACAGCCTCTCCTGCGTTTCAGGAGACCGAGGTTGCCTTCTACTTCCTTTTGCCCTCTCACTGTAACTGAATGGGTTGAAGGCATAGGCGGATGCTGAAGGGATAAACCGCAGATTGTGCTGCTTATATGAGGTGATGTTCCCAGGGGAAGTTTGTAGTATGTATATCGCCTGTCTTTAGTTTATCCTGGCAAAATAAGGCGAACTTGGAGGAGTAATGCCAGGGAGAAGCCAGACCCCTTGGATGAAAGACGAAAAAGGTAGCTAAATTAAACCAACGTTGATGAGATATATCTTTCATTTAAAAATGTTTTATTGTGGGGCGCCTGGGTGGCTCAGTTGGTTGAGCGTCTGCCTTTCGCTTGGGTCATGATCCTTAGGTCCTGGGATCGAGCCCTGCATCGGGCTCCCTGCTTGGCGGGGAGTCTGCTTCTCCCTCTCCCTCTGCCTGCCGCTCCCCCTGCTTGTGCTCTCTCTCTCTCTGTCAGATAAATAAATAAAATCTTAAAAAAAATAATTTTTTTTCAAGATTTTTGTCTATTTAATTGACAGAGACACAGCGAAAGAGGGAACACAAGCAGCGGGAGTGGGAGACGGAGAAGCAGACTTCCCACTGAGCAGGGAGCCCAATGTGGGGCTTGGTCCCAGGACCCTGGGATCATGACCTGAGCCGAAGGCAGATGCCTAATAACTGAGCCACCCAGGTGCCCCAATAAAAATGTTTTATTGTGAAATATAGCATCATTCAAAACACCATATGAAAATGTAGTGTACAGTTTAAAGATACCTGCTTCTTTAAAATAGTCCAATTCAAGTTGCTTTACATTTATTAGTGAAAAATTCACTGTGACTAGTTCTTGCTAAAACTGGACAATTAAATTTTCAGAAGAGCTAAAAAGCATCTGTAACGTGTCTTACTAATCCATGCAAGAGTTTACCTATGAATGGACTTTTCTTTGACAATAACATTGTTTTGTTAATGGGGATTTCTTTTAAAGATTTTATTTATTTGAGAGAGAGAGAGAGAGAGCACAAGCAGGCCAGGGGAGGGGCAGAGGGAGAGGGAGGAGCAGACTCCCCGCTGAGCAGGCAGCCTGACAAGGGGCTTGATGAGGGTCTTGATACCAGGACCCTGGGATCATGACCTGAGCCGAAGGCAGGAGCTTAACTGATTGAGCCCCCCAGGCGCCCCGGGTTTTTTTTAACTAGGCTCCAAACCCAGCATGGGGCCCAATGCAGGGCTTGAACTCAGGACCCTGAGATCAAGACCTGAGCTAAGATCAAGAGTCAGACGCTCAACCGACTAAGCCACCCAGGTGCCCTGGGAATTTTTTTTTTTTAATTAGGAATTTAGGCCATAAAGTTCTCAGATTAATCATGAATATATTTGATGGTTTTAGAGCTTTCTGAATTCCTGCTTCTATGTCTGTATATAGTTTATGAAGCCTGTCTGAATCTTTCCCATCCTAACTTAAGTCCCACCTCCCCCATAGAGAGGAGTGATTAACATCTATTGCTGTTACTCTGTGCCCGGAGCTGTACCAATGTTTTACACATGCTCTCTTATTTAATTTTCTCGGGAACGCTGTGAGATAATATAATTGTGTTACTCCCACTTCACAGATGAGAAAACTGAGGTCTCATGCCTTGTCCCTCAGAGCTAGTGAGGATTTTAGCTCAAGTTCTAAGTGCCATGCTTTCTTAAAGCCCTAGCTCTGCCCCTACCCCTAGACTATATGCCCTGCCTTCCCCCACCATGATCTCTTAGCCTGAACTCCTATAGCCTAGTGTCTGCTTCACTTAATACATATTTCCATGTCTCCCTTATCACCTGGCCTGCTGACCTGCAGATAGTAGTTGCTGAAGGAATGTCTGATCGGGGAAGAATTATTTTCTTTTTTGCAGCAGAGGGAATGCTTATTTACTAAGTTTGTATGCCAGGGATGTGAGCTCAGAAGGAGGCCTGTTTCCAGGATTCTTTTAAATGCCAGCTTTATAGTATCCTTGATTTTATTGAATTTTCAGTGAGAGAAAATTCTACATAAAAGTTAACTTATATTGCATATAGTGTTTTAATCTATTAGTATTGAAATGATTTGAGAGTATCGTTCTTTTTGATTTATGGTTGTCTTTCATTTCATCTCAAGATGAGCACCTGCTATTAGCAGTGGTTTCTACAAAACCAATGAAGCAAAGTGTCTGCCCCTTGGGGCACTTAAGAGTTTATTTGGTAAAACGAGAGCAGAGACAACTAAGACTGGCAAAAAACAAAGCAAAACAAATCAAAAAGGCGGTTGAATCGGGCTGTAAACTCTTAAGGGGCCGATTGATAACTTTTCGTGTGTGATGTTTTGATAAGTAATAATGTTAAGCTTCAATCATTATCGTGAAGTTAAATGATTACACATGTCTTTACAGCAAATTTATTTCTGATCGCGAGAGTAGAAGAAGTCTCACTAACAGCCATTTGGAAAAAAAGAAATGTGATGAATATGTAAGTGTCATTTATAATAAAGTATGCTTATTTGTTTTAATCACATAAATTGGGACATGTTTTTAATTTGTGTAGCATAATACTAAAAGTATAGCTATTTATATTCACCAAGATAGCCTATGTATTTTCTCTTGAAACCCATTTTAAAAAATAACTAGACCACTAAGGAAGTATTTCTTGAATTTTACTTCCACACCTGTTCCTAATAGTGCTTTAAAGACTTTGGCATGATGAACTTTCTTGAGGACTGTTTTGCTTATGTTTGTCTCTCTGTTTAGATTCCAGGAACAACCTCCTTAGGCATGTCTGTTTTTAACCTAAGCAACGCCATTATGGGCAGTGGGATTTTGGGACTGGCCTTTGCCCTGGCAAACACCGGAATTCTACTTTTTCTGTGAGTGTTGACACTGCAGTACTTTCCATGTTAAAACTGTATTTTCTGTATGTTTCTGTTCATATACAGAAGAAATTGGAAATATTTCTGAATAGTTTTTGTGTTTTTACTAATTTGGTTAAGTTATGAGTACATACTTTTATATTGTTTGTTGGAGTGGTTTTCCAAGTTGCACCTAATGTTTATAAGAAAAGGGAAAGAGAAAATCTTTTTATTCACCAAAGACACCAAAATAAACCTTTATAAATAAAAGGATCAAAAATTTTCAAAATGAGATTTTTGGTATTTTGGTATTCCTTATACCTGTCACTTTAAATCTCAGCTAAAAGGTCAAAATATTTAGAGGCGTCTAATCCAACCACTCAACACTTTGGTATTTGGATTGCAGTGGAATATGTACTATATCCAATGGTAATTGCAAATTTATTTGTAATAAATAGCCAAGAAGCACAGATGAGAAATTAGCGTGTACTTTTCCTCTGAGGGTTAGTTAAGAGAAAATAGGCAAGTTTTGTTTTTAAATAACTTCTCCTCACACTGTTGAATGGGACTTTCTGCAGATGTACAGAGGGCTTCTTTTCAGTTGGAGCAAGATGAAAACAGATCATAGAATTTATACCAGGAAAATTCCTACTCAGCCTGATTCCCCTCTCAAACCCCTACAGAGTATCAGTGGTGTTTTGCCTGAAGAGGCAAGAAGGAAATTCTCTTCTCCAGCCTTTTCCCCCCTGACTGCACTCACGTTCTTCATTGGCCTTGCTCAGTAGTCTTCATTGCTGGATCTTGAGATGGGAGCATCATTTTCTTGGAAGCAGTGACCAAAACGGCTAGTACTCTTACAAATTGTGTATATTCCTTTAGAAAGACTTAGAAAATTGTGATGAAAGTACACTGCTGCCCATTCCATTACCCAGGGATCAGTGATGTCCATCCATGCTGGGCCATGTGGGTCAGTAGCACTAGGGATTAATATTCTTCCTCTTAACGTGTAAACACACCAGACATGTCCTTCCTAGAATTAAAACTCTGTATGGGACAGTGAATTCAAGACGTTTTCTTCCTTATTGTCCACCCAACTTGGTAAACCCAACTGTGGCCTCTTCTTTTTATTGTGCTGGGTGGATCATTCTGTGTGGCCTTTCTGTTTATGTATATCTTGAGCCAAGTGCCAGGTTTTAGGGTAAAAGGATGGAGTTGGACAAAATATTTCTATGGTGACTTTTTTGGTATGCATGGAACTCTGACCCTCTGAGGATACCGTGGGGTCGCTGCACTTGTGATTTTCAGAGCAGTGACCAGAGGCACCTGACTGCTAGTCCCAACTCCTCTTCTGAATCGCTGTGTAGCCTTAAGCAAGTTACTTAGCCACTCTGAGCTGCAGTTGCTTACTCTGTAAAACAAGGAAATTGCACTAGAAAAATCTCAGAACTCTGTCCACCTCCGAAACCCTATGATTCTGTGACTGTGATCAGTTATTCCAGAGCTGGAAAAATGTTCAGTTCAGAAATGTATTTTACATTGATTTATTTATTTTTTTTAGTTATCGCAGTATTAGTTAGTTCTATGCTAAGTAGTTGAAGAGTCAATTCTTTGATGATGGTAACAACAGTCTTCATACCAGGTACTGCTCTAAGTACTCGATGCTGAATCCTTGCAAGTCTCTGAAATAGGTACTCATGTTAGTTCCCTCCTTCATGGGTAAGGAAACTGAGGCAGAGGGAACAGACTTTTATTTTGGAATCTCTCTTTGTCACCATTCTGGGAGTCCTCTCTTCTCTCCTGGATCCCCTGTTCCCTCCATTCCATTTCTTCCTTTTTCTGGATTTACTTCCTTGCTTTTGTTGCTGAGAGAGGATGAGTAGAAATAAGTTTTTCGAGGGCTTCATGTCTGCAAAATGTTTTTATCCTACCTTCACCTTGGATTGGCAGTTTGGCTGGATATAGAACTCTATATTGGCAGTAATTTTCCATCAGAATTTTGAAGGTATTGCTTCACTGCTCTCTAGTTTCTTCTGTTGTGAAGTCCCATACCCTCCTGATTCCTGATCTTTTCTATATAAGCCAGGGTTTTTGTTTTTTGTTCTGGTTTGTTTCTGGAAATTTGTTGAATCTCTTTGCTCCCCATGTTCTTCAGTTTTATCGTGGTGTGTCTTGATGTGGGCCTTTATCGTCCACTGTGTCAGGCAGTTGGTACCTGGAACCTTAGAAGTTCATAGTCTTCAGTTTGGGGACATTTTCTTACACATTATTGTGTCAATGAATTCCTTCCTCCTCTTTCCCTTTTCTGTTTCTGGGACTGATCCCCAGATTCTGGACCTTCTGAACTCGTCCTCTCAGTTTTATTTTTTTTTCATTTCTTCAATTTTTCACTGTAGTTTCTGGGATATATCCTCAATTTTCTCCAGCTCTTTACTGAATGCTTTATTTCTGTTATTATTTTTTTTTTATTTATAGGAGCTTTTAAAAATTCTTGGAATGTTCCTTTCTTATATTATTTTGTTTTATGATTTCAGTGTTTTCTCTAAGGATTCTAGTGATAGTTTTGGAAAATTTCAAGCATAAAGTGGGAAGAAGAGTATAAAAGATTCCCATGTTCCCTTCATCCCATGGCCTTACTTGTTTAATCATCCCCCTCATCTGGATTGTCTCAAAGCAAATCCCAGCTCTAATATCATTTCATCCATAAATATTTCAGTGTATTTCTCATTAAAATAAGGATTATTTTTAATAATTATTTAATAAGGATTTAATATTTAATAACTATTTAATAAGGATTATTAATACATAACCATATTATGTCACACCTAAAAAATTATCAGCAGTTCCTTAATATCATCAAATATCCAAACAAAATTTGAATTGCCTATTTATCTCCTTTAACAAAACAACAACTGGGTTTTCCAAATCAGTACTCAAATGAGGTCCATATAGCGCAATTGGCTGATATGTGTTTTAATCTCTTTTAATCTGTAGGTTCCCCCATTTCTCTCTCTTCTTTTTTCCTATACAATATATGTGTTGAAGAAACTGGGCCATTTGTCCCATAGTGTTTCCCACAGTCTGAATTCCACTGACTCTATCCCTCTGGCGCAAGTTGATTTTTTGTTTGTTTGCTTTGGACTCCATCTTTCATTTTAGAATCTTTCCTCAGATGTCAGGTGGTCCTTCTTTGTCTGTTATATTCAAAAGTAAGGGATGGGAAAAACAAGACTAATTTACACCCACTACACGTGAGTGGGGCTTGTTGGCGATAGCTTCACATAAGGTGTTGTCACCAGCCCTTTACTTGGGGAACCAGCAGTGTCAGTTACTCTTTGGCTGTTGGGATCACCCAGCATCTTCCAGTCGTCTGCCTGGAGGGTCTGAGCATTGCCACCATACTTCTGGGAACCAAGTTGGGGGCAAGGTTTGGGGTGGATATCTCAGTTGCATGTGTTTACCCAATCCCAGTTTTCCTGACAGTACCCACTCCCCCCACAAGTTGTGCTGGGTCCCTCACCCAGAGACCCGTATTTTATACTTGACAGAGAATGTGTCTTCAGATATATATGTTTTGCCACATAGGGAGGAGCAACAACTCAGCTTTACGGAATAGGTGCCTGTTCTGGGAATCTAGCTATTTCTTGAAGATTCTTTTTATTTTAGCTCATCCCTTCCATTTTTCCCTCCTTCCAGTAATGCCACCGGGGCCTTTTGGGAATTCTGTGGTGAAAATTGGATTGGTCTTGTCTTTCTCCACTGCCAGTTTAAGGTTCAGCTTTGTCTACTTTCCAGTTCTGAAATTTTGTGCTTATTATCTCCTCTCATGTTCTTAGGAGGGAGCAGGAGTAAGTTTATATATTCAATCTACCATTCCTAGAATTCAGTTGATTTTTAATTATAGTGATTCAGGGATAATTGATCTCTTGTCTCATGACTCTTCAGTTTCTGACTGAAGCAAAGAATTGGATAAACTTGACTCTTAGAGTTGCAGGAAGACTTCCCTGCATAAAACTCTTATAAATCGTTTGGTCATTTGCAAGATGTGTGAATAGCAAGCGCCACACACCAAATCATCAGGTGAAAGCTCGTGAAGGTAGCTGTATAAAGACCCAAACTTACAAGCTTTTCACAAAATGTAGAACTCTCCTACCTTAGAACAAGCACTCACTCTGTGTGTTGTAAAACCAGCTGCTCCTACAGCTGCTCCAAGCCAAGAAGCAGTTGGCAGGATCAAGGTATTTCATCTGGTACAGGGCCCTGTTCCAGACTCATACTAGCCAACACGGAAAAAGAGTCCAAGCCTGTCCAGGCTTCTTTAGAAAAGCAGCTGGGAAGGCTCCTCTGAGTCTCCCTGAGGCTGGGTGCGGAGCTCTTCACTGGGGTCATCTGAAAACTTGCGGGAGTGATTTCTTTTCCTTGGATGAATTTGGGGCTCATTTTTTTTTTTTTTTGACCTAACCATAATGGCTGTCATCCCTGTTTAACACACCTCTGATTCAGTTGGATTCAGTGAACTCTGCCCCATTGGAAGAATGCAGTTAGGTTTTGTGTTTCCCTGAATCCTGAGGCCCTACAATTCCACCCAAGGAACAGGAAGTATGGGAATGGGGAATCTCTGCTTACAGTTGTTCTGACAGTATCTGTTCTCTGTTGGAAACAAAATGGGGCTGTACCCTGAGGCAGCAGTTTGGGGATATGCTGAGGCACGAGTATCTCAGGGTAAAATGCACACATTGAACTGAGTTTTCCTAAGATTGGGGATCCAAGGAAAAGGCAGTGGGTGCTGAAAACTTTTCCACTGTAACTCCCTCTTCTATCACTGATTTTTTTTTTTTTTTTTACATAGCTCCCCTGTAACTCCATCATGGCCAAAGTGGGATCAAAAGTAAATATTGGCAGGGTGCCTGGGTGGCTCAGTGGGTTAAGTGGCTAACTCCTGATTTCCGCTTAGGTCATGATCTCAGGGTCATGAGATTGAACCCCGAGTAGGGTTCTGCGCTGGGCATGGAGACTGCTTA